GTGGGGGTTTTTTAAGCTTTAATTTTACTTCTTAGTAATTTTTCAAAGACAGGGAAAGTTTTTAAAAGTTTCAACAGTGGAATGAAAATGAAAGGGTGCAGGCGGGTCTGGTGAGGAAATCTGGACACGCTGTGTCAGTGGCCAAAGGAAAGGAGGGACAGTAGAAATGCAGCCTTTTCTCAAAAATATTTCCTTAAAATGTAATTAAAAAAATGATTCATGGCAAATGCAGCAAATAAGAGGTGACTTAGATGTTTTTCACAGCAAAGCAATGCTTTTCCATTTTGCAGGGATCTCAGTAAATATTATTAACCCATTTTCCACCCGGGGACACGGAGAAATTATAGTCATACACAAAATCAGTGACCGGACCAGGAATATAAGTCAGACCACCATTTTCTAAAATGTGTGCCTTCTTCAGCTGCATTCTCTGTATTCAGAACTACTGTTCTCCCTTGTAACTGATAATCATTACTTATTTTCCCAGTCACTGTAACACCCCTGGAGAGCCCTTCATTGAGTTTAAATGCCCGGGGAGTACAGGTAATGCAGAGGCAGTAATACTTGTGGCCGCTCACCTACTTGATGTTTAGAATATGATTTGGTACCTGCAGTTTACTGGCTCCTGAACACTGGCTTTTCAGGATTGCTTGAAGGGAGGGGCACCAAGCAGGAAAAATGAATGTGGGAGGGAGGGAGAGAGGGAGGGAAGGTGAGGGGGTGGAAAAATGAGCCTGCTTTACTGAATAATGAGGGAAGTGAAAATGAATGGGAAAAGAGAGAGAAAAGCTGGTTTAAATATTTAATCTCTGTTGCATTTGCTTTTGAAGAGGAGACAAAAGCCTTGGAACATCTTTTGTCTTGAACTAATTCTGACCAGAGCTGAACAGCGTATGATTGTCACTTCTGTCATTTGCCTTAAGGTGGAGAGAAACAGATTGGTCCTGCTGCATCAGCCCATCACATCAGTCTCCGTCCCCAGCTCCGGACAGTACCTGGAGCTGCAGAAGGTATAAATTACTCATGACAGTGACACTTCTGCCCCACAAGTCCATGCTGGCCAAGATCCTGATGCCTGGGTGGTCAGTGTGTGTGCTGCCTGGGAGCTGCACATTTCTTTGGAGAGGAGGAAGTTCTCTGATGGGTCTGAGGAGCAGTTGCTCACTCGTGTGTCCCACAATTGAGCAAGTCACTTCACTTTAGGTCTTTACTACTGTTTGGAGCGAGGTGGTTAGTGCAACACATGACAGCAGTATTTTCCCCTTGTGTCTCTCCATTCCTCTCTATAGCTTTCTATCCAGCCTCTCCCTGCAACATTTCTCTTCCCCTTCCCTTGACTTGCCCTCTCATGCCCTCCCTCTCTGCTCACCCACGGTCTAGTTGGTGCCAAAATAAGCACAGCTGTCTTGTCCACCATCCTCAGCTGCACCATCTGTAGGACCTTCTGCAGATGAGGCAGCTCCATGGATGCGCCGGCATGACCCACACGCCAGCCACAGAGATGACAGCTACATGGGCTGATGAGCCACTGCATCAACGAGGTCATTTGCTTTCAATTAGTCCTATATAAATGTTGTTCGGTTGATATAATTCATCTGCCACACATTCTGTTTCTCCTGTCTCTCACACTGGACACCCAGACTTGAGGACTGCACCACCATCCACAGCCAGTTTCACCCAGCGAGGCAGGCACAGCCCTTGTAGCGGTGGTGCTTCTCTGCAGCCACAGCCTGTCATCCTCTGAGAAAGCCTTAGCCAGATAAAAACCTCATTTTGGCCTATTTTGGCCTTTCTTTATAGACTGGAGAAGTAGGAGGGGAAAATGCCTCCAGAGAGTAATTCACTGCAAGCCTGGCTTTTAAATTGGTAAATATCTGTAAGCTCTAAGAAAGGCTGATGGTCTCTGACTAACCAGAGGAAACTGCTGAGACTGGGAACTTTTCCTCTTGTTTTGGCAGTGGCTTTGTCTCTCTGATCCACTTATTCCCTTTATAACCCTAAAAACAAAGAGGTGCTGTCATCCCTTCTTCTCAGATGGGGGCAGATATAACGTGACTTCTCCACCAGGGCCCCTCAGGACATTATTGGAAAAGCAGGGAATTTTGAGGTCTGGTCTCCTGAGCCCTGAGGGAAGGAATGAAAGCCCAGCTTTTTGTCAACTCCTGAACTGGGACCACACCAGAAAAAATTAAGCAAAAAACCCAACCCAAAAAGCTACAGCAACATCTCTTGACCCTCTGAAGGCTCATAGTTAGCAATTATCTTTCAAAGGCTTACTTCAAAAGTAATTTATTATTTTATTAGCTGTTTGCTGAGAGATCAAATAAATCCAAGGTGCCTAGTCAAGTATGTTCCTAATTAATTTTGATAGGAACTCGACTGGCTAGTTTAAATGCTGGAGAAGACAGCTGAGTGGGAGTTTGGGCTTGGTGAAGCCAGCTAGGCAAGAGTTTTACATTTGGTTTACAAAAGAGCTTGAGTAGGCTGAGATTCCAGGCTGATGAGAGGGTCTCAACCGTGACTACCCTCTTTCTTTTTTGGCAGAGTACTCATACACTGGATGTGTGAGCTGTAGGGATGAAAGAGGAGTTTATTCTCTGTAGCACTACAGGACTTGACTTGGCTGATTTTTGCAGCGGTTCCTCCCATGGTAATCATGCCAGGATGCTGGTCACTCTGTTTGGATCTCAGCTACACAAATTGTTGACCAGACACCAAAGATGTCAGCTTTTGCTGCAGGTTTGATCTGAATGAATGACTTGGGAATGGAAAGCATCATATCTTATTTCAAAAATTTGTGTGAGCCATAAAAATACTCCTTTACTTTTTGCCAAAGAGAAAAGACTCGGGAGCTGACAGAGGAAACCTGGTACCATGGTCTAAAACCAGCTGAGTTCAGGTCATGATCCGTTACCAATTCACCACCTGGGAAAAAGCCAGCAGGGTTTCAGTGGTGCTGTACCAAGCCATGCTCTTCCTTCCCAAATGTAAAGTTGTCTGCATTAGGAGGAGCTGCTGCTTCCCAGATCTGATTAATGGTGGTTTGCCTTTGTGTTAGCCTGGAAGCCTCAAATCCAACTCCTGCTCAGTCCTGACCTTAGTGGGAGCTGCTGCTTCTCGCAGACGGTTACAGCAGGACCCAGCTCATAATTGTGTGGTGGCCTTTGAAGTCCATCAACACAGAGACACGTAGTGGCTGGTCTGACCATGTGCCTGCAACAGCCACGGCACCCTCCTCAAGGGATGCTGATGGCTGCTGTGCAGCGCCAGGAGCAACGGGCAAAGGAGGGAAGTGTTATTCTGAGGGCGAAAACAGAAACCTCCTCATGCTCAGAGGAGAAGGAGGAGAAAAAGCAAAGCATCTCAGGAATTCCTCAAAAGCGGCAGGAATTGTTGGGGGGTTCTGGAGATGAAACAGAGAAGGTAGTTGGGGGAATCTTGGAGTTCAATGAAGAGTAAATTTGCTCAAAGAAAAAGAGAGAGAATTGTGGGAGACCTGCAACTGTATTTGTATTTGGGAGATAGTGCTTCCCTTCCATTTTCTCATTGTCAAAATATCTTGAATATCTCAAAGAGGTTTTCTTCCTCCTTTTTTTTCCTCTGATTAGGATTTTTAAGTGGGAAATGCTGAAACATTAATTTCAAATCTTTCAAAATCTATTTTTCGATATCTTTTAAAATAGACTTGTAGATCTAAATGATTACTCCATATGAAAAAGGAGAAAAAATAGAGACAATAAACAGTAAAATAAACTGCAAACATGATTTATCACTTGGGGTTGAACAAACTCCTTGAATTCACCCTGATTTTTCTTTGTTTCTCTTCTTTCTCTGACCCTCGGTCCCCCACACTTTCAGTTTGTTTGACCTTTTTTAAACATTTTTATTACCCAGCTCTAGTTTAGTTTTTCATTTATTTAAATATTAATGAAAGAATAGCAGTTACACATTATTGTTATTTCTTAATCAAACCAACCAGCAATCCTCACGTAATGCCTTTGAGGTTGAGGGAACAGGAGAAAGTATTCCATACGGCAAAAGAATGACAGGAATTACGGACAGAAAGCCCCTACTTAGGAAATGAATCAGTCCGCTTCTGTCTAGCGGAAAAGATCAGCATGGAAGTATAGAGCCTTTAGAAACGGCTTATGAATTTACAGCTTGCAAAGTGAGTGAAGTCTGTGTGTCTCGTACACATACGCTAACTCATTCCCCACACATGCATACATACAGGTCTCTGGTGGAAAGAAGGGGCATGTGCAGTCTGCAATGCATATGAACTTTCTGTTTAGAGGAAAAAAGAAAAGATTTTTTTCAATAGGCACAAAATCCCACCCCCTCAGCACCCCTCCTTCTCCTGTGTCTGACACTGACTTCAAGGGAGGAGTTGAGCCAATTATCTGTGAGTCCTACAGAAGGAAAATCTGCAATTTGCCAGTAGTTGTGTGAGCGAGAGGGAGAAAGGCAGGGAGGGAAGAAGAAAGACTTAATTGCCGAATGTAAAGAAAAGCCCCTTCTGTTCTGGAAAGAGAATATTTTAAAGCAAATCTCAGACCAGAAGAAAAGAAGCTCATGAGGGGAGGGGTTGTGCCAGGCAAGACCTGGGGAAGCATAGGTTCACCATAGACAACTTCCATGCCCCCACTGATTTTTCCCCATAGGGTGTGAGGTGGTGTAGAAGCAGGGTGGGCCAGCTGGATGCACCCACGACCCTGCACGACTAGGTGTCGCTCCAGAGACCCTTTCCCCCCAGCAGAGCCTACGAAGCACAACTTGCAAGAAAAGCCAGTGGGAGTGGGAGAGACTCCTCTCCTTCTCTTGAACTGAGGCTGTGAGGAGAAGAGCTCATCTCGCCAAAGGGAAAGCTATCACTGGTTCCGAGACCCTTCTGTAGCCCATGTCAGTCTCCTGATTCAGTACTTACCATCCATGGGGGAACGCCCTCTGGAGCCCTGCAGTCCTTCCCAATCCTGCTAAGTTCCCAGGAAATACTGGTGAAGAACTGAGCCCAGAGCAAGCAACGCGGGATCCACAGAACAACAACCTTTTACAGCAGCAGCCGCCTCTGATTAAAATTATCAGCTTTATCAGACTGCACCAAGACCCAGGACTGCTCCTCTGAGGAAAGAGAGGTAAGAAAGCAGTATGGAGTTTGGGATGAAAGTGGGAAACAAATATCCCACAGGAGTGATTGTGGTGTGCATGAAAATTACAGGCATACTAGTAGTGATTAACAAGTGACAGGTCTGTTATGCATGACACAGTTTGTGTCTGCCTGTATGCTTTTTAGCTGGATGCAATGAATTACATTGGGATGGCAAACAGGCACAAACAGTAGCCGAAGACCAAGGAGTGCACGAGAGGCAGTTCAGAAGTCTGTTCATGGATGGGGAGTGGTAGGGAGCATACCTGCTGATGGCAGGATGGAAAACTAAGGTGCAAAAGCTCTAGGCAGGTTGTATGAAGAATGTCTTTCTTAGATACCTCACTCCGAGTGCTCAGGATGGAATTTGTCAGCACCTCACTGGAATTCAGTCAAGTGCCTTTCAGAGCGTGCAAAAGCAGGTGCACTGTCATTCACTCCGACGTCTGCCTACGAAACAAGCAGCGGTCCTAAGTAGGTAGAAGACGATACAGGGAGTCAAAAGAAATAGGGTTTAATGTTGATTTTGGACAGCTGTTTCAGCTCTCGCTGGGCATATGAGCCTTTCCCTTTATTAAGTGGAGGTAATACTGCCTACATTTCTATGACATTTTGAAATCCCTCTGCTGTTCCACTATAAAATACTTACGTAAAGTTTCTAGCATCAAGCCAGTGCATAAAGCAGAAGGTACTATTGGGAATTAATCTATGCTTAAGCATTTAATAAACTGGAAGGAAAAGACGTAGATTAAAGCCAGCTGGAGGTTGTTTGTCTCATCATTCTCTTCTGATTGATTTTGCTTTATTTAGTACATGAACATGTGGTCTCTTTCTGTTTCCTTTCTTCTGCCTTTAATCTTTTTCAATGTATGAGTCCCTGTGCTCCCCCTCACCCCTGGGTGTGAAGGCTGAAGTTTCATTCCTTTTCTGAGGAGGAAATAAGACAGATTGTATTGAACTGGAGAAAAACTGGAGAGGGGGATAAGACGGGAGAGTACAAAACACAAACATAAGCTCCCAGTTCAATGGCACGCTCTGAGTCAGATTTGCAGCAGAGGTGATGAGATGAGTAGCAACCCCATGAATCAAAGTGCTGAAAAGCATCTTTTGACTCCGTGTGAAATGAAATGCAGTTAGGAAAGCACAAGAGTCCTCTTCACTGAATGCCTTGACAGGTGGAACAATGACATCGTAAAGTGACTATTTAATACATTAAAATCTGCGTGTCCTCACACCTCTTCTTCCCCTTCAGCTCATCTACATCCTAGGGGCAAAGTGTCCTGAAATGAGCACATGTCTGCACATAGTATTTTCCCTTTGATGGGGGTGTGATTTAATGACCAGAGATGGAAGGGTGAGGAAAGGTGGGAAGAAGAAAGAGTTTGCAGGGCAGGAGTCCTGGAATCTGCTTATGCTTCCCATTTGTTTGACCTTGGGTGGTCACTCAGCTTCCCTGTGCCTTACCCTCCCCATCTGCGGGTAGCTGGGGCGGCAATTCCTTCTCCAAGCTGTCCACTGTACAGTGGCATTAACTGAGGTCCAAAGCAGTGGAATTCATTTCAAGGTGGAGGAAAGAAGCACCTCTTGCACTAAAAGTGCAAAAATAACCCTCCAAGCAGCTACAATGACACAGTTCACTTCCTTTGCTGTGTGATGGGAGTTTCTCTAATCACTAGCGGCTCGGTGGTTACCTGTCAGTCAACAGCATAATTTGGAGGGTTTTGGCTTGTAAAGCTGCTGGCCAGGATCAGGTTCCCCGGCGTGCATGGTCTGTACAGGACATATAAGGCATTTGCTTAAAAAGCGTAACTGTGCTCAGTCCCAGATGCTGCCGCACCAAGTTGTATGAAGCTGATCTTCAGCGAGAGTGAACCAACACAGTCCACTTGCCCTTGTGCAGCTACACTAGTCCATCCCACCCTGAAGAGCTGATTCATTTCTAGGTTCACTGAACCTAGGCTGTAGAGAATTTTGTAGTTTTTCTCCCAAAATCGATCTCCCTGCTTTTCTCTGCTGGCTAAATAAAGCCTAAGAGGGTGAAAGGAAGCATCCCAAAGCAGCTCTGCCGCCATTTGTCTGCCCATGGACACAAGGCACTATTGGGCTGGTTATGTAGGAAAGGGCAGAGCCAGTGTACGTGGCAGTGTTGTTTCAGAGACTGAATTTGGTGTTACTGCACTGTTGGAGATGGATCCTGTTCTAAATGAAACAGAGCCTGGTCCAAGTACCAGGTGAGCTCCTTGCTGTCATTCACACCACAGTAATCCCAACAGTACCATAACTCTGCATGTGTGTGTCCATCCGAAGTTATGTTCTGACATTACTGTCTGGCTCTAATATTATGCTGTCCTGCTTGCTGAATATAATGCAGAGTGTAAGCTACACCGAGGAAAGCATTGCATTTTCTTCTGTGCTTTAAATGGGGCTGAATGTGCTGTTGGCGTGCAGCAAATTATAGCAATAAAAATAAATAGTAGAGTTTTGCTGTTGCCGTGGGCTATAGCACAGTGCTTGTAACGATGCTGGATCAGAATTCCAGAGACTTCTTTATTTAGCAGTGACCGTATCTTCACTGCTGCTTTGGTACTTAGCACATGTTAAACAAAGTAAAAGATTTTAAGCTTTTGACTGAGATGTCAGCTGCATAAAAGCTTAGGAGATAAAATTCACTCGAGGGAAAGATAGGAATCCAGATATGGATCCAGAAATGATCTTTCAGTGTACATAAAGTGCTTGCATTGTAATATTAAATAAACAACACCTAAGTTAAATAAACGGCACAGTGGGAACTTGATTATTCTTTAATAAGATTCCAGTAACCAAAATAAACTCTGTCAAAATGTGCCTTCTTTGCTCTAACAGTTAGCTTTCCCCACACAGGGGTTATATTTTTCCTTTCAGCACACAATTCATTTGAACTGGTACATGAAAAATGTCTGAGCAACAATTTATTTTCTTTTCCTATCGAAGTATCTGAGTGCTATGTCAAAATGCAATCTCCAAGGTCTCCAGACTCACTTTAGTTGATCAGGGGTTGGAAATCTTGTCTAATAGCTATTTAAGATGGCTGTCCTTCATCTTTTCTCCTGTACTTAGCACCTGCAAAGACTGTGACACCCACAACAACAGTGTGTGTATAAAGACTCAAACCCCTTTGAAATCTGCATTTCTGCAGCTCCATCCGTTGCCAGCCATTCTGCTGCAACACTGATAGTTTGTCGATAGGGAGTTCCCACACTATCAGTCCAAACAGCAAGATTAAAATCTGGTTTCCAAAAGGTCACTGAAGGCACAGATCTCAGAATTTATCATCAGCCGGTGCTATTTTGTGGTTCAAACTCCCTGCATCAGCAATAAAGGTTGTACGGACCAGATATTTGAAGTTACTGAGATGTCTGTCTTCCACTGATGTCAAGAATGATTCTTGTTTCTGTCTGACTTTTGGTCCATCTCAGAAAAGGAGTATTGTGCACAGCTCCTCTTTAGGCAACCAAGCGAAGTGGTTTAGGTCCCAATGGCAGCTGTAGTTGATGCAGTATATTGGGAAATCTGACCTCTTTGTTTATGTATCTAAATGAGAACCAAGCTCTACTGAAAAATCTGGTAATGTCTAAGTGACGCAGATGGTGGGAAGGAACCTGGTGTCTAAGTTGAAGCACAGCTGATAAAATTAGCCCTTAATGTTTAAACGAAATAGCAAAACCATGTTATTTTCATTGTAAATGCTTTCATTTTTATATGACTTTAAAAGAAAGAAAGAGAGAAAAAAAGAGAGAAAGAAAGAGAGAAAGGAAGGAAAAAAACAGAACAAACCCCACAAATGCACGCACATGCTACAATCCCCCCAAACGTTGTAGCTGCTGGGAGAAAGAAAGAAGGAAAGAAAGAAAGAAAGAAAGACCGACCCCCCCACTCTCTGGAAATGAGACTGAAAAAATTAAGCCATTTCCAGTGAAAAGATTTCTGTATGAACCATTCATCTACTAACCAGGAGTGTGCTCCAGAGCACTCTTTGACAAGCCTGTGGTAAGGAGCTGCCCTACTCCATCCTCCATCTGGTTTCTGGTCTTTCCTCCAATTCTGCTATTTTCTCTTTCAGGACTAAGCAATGATGAAGACCATTTCCGGTGGAAACTGCACCCTGAATGTGCCAGCCAAGAACTCATACCGCATGGTAGTGCTGGGAGCCTCCAGGGTGGGGAAAAGTTCCATTGTCTCACGCTTTCTCAATGGCCGGTTTGAGGACCAGTACACTCCCACCATTGAGGATTTTCACCGCAAAGTCTACAACATCCGGGGCGACATGTATCAGCTGGACATCCTGGACACCTCCGGGAATCACCCTTTCCCTGCCATGAGGAGGCTTTCCATCCTGACAGGTGAGAAAGTCGGGAAAAGTTTGCAGATGGGGAATGGTAGGTGAAAGATGATAATGACAGACATTGGCTTGAAAACTGTAGCCTGATATGACTGCTTCTCAGGGATAAGATGCATTTGGGAGGTAGCTAAAAGGACTGCATGATTTTGTTGCAAGATGCATTTCTCTAGAGAGGTATTTCCTGGCCGGGATGCTCCAGGCACTATAGGGAGTACATTAGCCACAGAGGCAAGTCCACTGGGTGAAGGTCTAAAATTGAGATTTCCCCCTAGTTTAATTCCATCCTACATTCCCCTCCTGCTCCATATTTTTTATTGCAGTCACAAATGAATGGCTGAATAAAATCTCATGGGCACAAAGAGCAGCAAAGGACAAAATAAGCATGCCATTGTAAGACACAAGCAGTGAAAAACAAATGTAAAATGCACAGGAAGGGAATTCAAACCAAGAAAATCTCAAAGATTTCTTTTTCCTAAAATTTCCAGCCTGATTCCATTCATTTGCTATTCCATTAAAAAGACAGCTCTACTTTTACCCTTTCTCCTTAGTCTATGGTAAATCAAATGAATTAAAGAGGAAAAATGGAAAATGGTAGGCTCATTTTGTACGTTCTTATTGTCAAGCAGTTCCCGTTGTGAGCTAAGATGTATTCTTTAACTATGAAAGTGACAGTGGAGATATATTCAGCCACAGCTCACAACAAACCTACTTTCTGGGTTTGCTGTATACCCTTCAAGCTAGCCAGTGAAACAGGACATTCATATCTGACCAGGCTAGCATCCACCGGTCCTAGGGCCGGTTTCTGAGATGTGGATGTGAGCTTTTGTCCCCAAAAGCTCTCTCAGCACGTTCCACATGAATGTCATTCAACAGGCAATGATTTGCGTTATTTTATATTTGCAAAAGGAATTGTAAGTCAGGAAATGTCAAAAGGAAATGCCAGGGGATCTGTGTCATTTATGTATTTCTTTTTTTCCATGGTCTGTTTCTCTTGAGCAATTGAAATGACAGCACTGCACATTGGGAAACCTCTCACTGCTGACTTAGGCGTCCGGGACTGACTAGCTGTAAATCTTCAGTTCAGGTGTTGTTTCTCATATTGTATAATCAAAAGGCCAAGGCTGAGTGGCTACTAGCTCTCCATTCTTCCTGGTGTCAGAACAGGCTCTGTTTTACACAGAAATACAAACAAAAGGAACAAAAAAGATAAGCAATGCAGCAGAGCTGAGATAGGAACATGATTACAAAGAGAGTACAGACGGCCAATGACTTGCAAGTCCCATGCAACCTAGGAGCACACAATTGGGTATGACGGAAGTAACGTCATAGCCAAAAGTCTTTTCCATAGCACTACAGAAAGGAGTGGGGAGTTGAATTAGAAGGATTGGAACTAAAGTACAGCTTCATGAACACATTGAGAAGGACCAAACAAAAAATACAGGGAAGAGATGGCAAATAAACCTATTGCTTTTTGAAAGTTAGCTCCTCTGACACAGTTTGCAACCAACAAGCCTTTACAGTATCCTTTTTTAATTGCAGGGGATGTTTTCATTCTGGTATTCAGCTTGGACAACAGAGAATCCTTTGATGAGGTCAAGAGGCTCCAGAAACAGATCCTTGAGGTCAAATCCTGCCTGAAGAACAAGACCAAGGAATCAGCTGACCTCCCCATGGTGATCTGTGGCAACAAAAATGACCACAGTGAAATCTTCCGCAAGGTACGCTCAGATGAAGGCGAGAACCTTGTCTCCAGTGACGAAAACTGCGCTTACTTCGAAGTTTCAGCCAAGAAGAACACCAATGTGGATGAGATGTTCTATGTCCTCTTTAGCATGGCCAAGCTACCTCATGAGATGAGCCCTGCCCTCCACAGGAAAATCTCCATCCAGTATGGTGACACCTTCCAACAGAAATCCTTCCGGATGCGCCGAGTCAAGGACATGGACGCCTACGGCATGATCTCTCCCTTTGCTCGCCGGCCAAGCGTCAACAGTGACCTGAAGTATATTAAATCAAAAGTTCTCAGGGAAGGTCAGTCAAGGGAGAGGGAGAAATGCACGATCCAGTGAAGGGGGCTTGCACTTCTGTCTGAAGTCATCATCCACATGCAGTGCCTTAAAGAAAAACGGTCTGTGGAAGCACAGAATGGGCTCATGGGGTTCATCGAGAAAACCCAACATGGAGAAAGGATAACTCTTCCTGAATGTAAATAACATCGTCCTTGTAAACGACTGGGAAAATCATATGCCTGAGATGATACGAGTGCATTGCTCTGTCTTTGCAATGTAGTTCCCCTTTATACCCCTTTTTGTTTAAAGAATACAGACCTGAGAAGTACAGAAATTTCAACCTCATCCTTACAAAGAAAGTGGGTCAAAAATGCACAAAAGGCATTAACAGTTACCCAGCATGCGGCTCTTGCTAAGAGAGAGAAGGTTACATGTATGTGTGTGTGTATCTCTGTGTGTCTGTGTGCATGCATGTGTGGAGCACTCCTTTAAAACATGGGACTTGCATTTCAAAGGACAACAGTCTTACTGAGGTTTCCTAGATTGGGAGTGGACTCTATATACGGACGCATGACTCTAACTCACTTCTGAGGGGACCTGCATTAAGAAGATCTTGATTTTATGTTTGCTGGGACAGTTATCATTTGTCATCAACATGAATGTGGTTTTTTTTATTACAGATTTTATTTGGGATTTTTTTTTATTGTCTGGGGGTAGGTTCTTAGCAAAATCAGATGACAAGTGTGTCTGATATCAAAACAGTGTCTACTTTCTAGCAGTGAAAGGTGTTTTTCATCTGTATAACTAACTATATAGTATGTATATTGATTGAAAGTGAATTTGTTCTGCCAAAAGCCAATACATTTGACTGCTTTGCAAGCTCGGTGTGATATTGTTTCTCAAAGCAGCCACTCCAACTCTGAATACCATGGTACAAATGCGACACTTTGCCTTGCTGGCCACTGAAGCAGTGGTTCCTTCCTCTGCCTGTATCAGCCGAGACTGACCAGATTCATATGTTGGCTTAGACCACTTCAGAGGCAGGATTGGGTTTTCCTTCAAAATTAAATACGGAACAGTTGTAGAGCCAGCTCCATCATATCTCTTCTGTTAACATGTCTCTAGTCATTTTGTTCATGGTTTTCCCTGCTGTCTGATAAAGGTTGCCTTGATGGAAACCTTTGCACTGCATAAGTCCTTCAGAACAGACGCTTTGTGCTGGCTGTCCAAACAGGGCTGAACTGGCTGGCCAGATAAATCTGGGGCCGTCCATTCACTTCTTCACTTTCTCAGCCCAGTCCAGGCTTCCTTGTCTTCAGCTCTCTCCCTGTTCTGTCTCTGGCTTTGTTGTTCAACGTACTCCTGTATGCCCTCAAAGCCAAATATATTTTCTCAGATGTGAGCTCACCACTCTCGCTGACTGGAATGAGTTATGTGCACACATAACTGTGGGCAAAGCATGGCCCCAAGACTATACCAACAGTAGAGTATATACATTATATATACCTCAGAACGACCTTTAGATATCTTGTCCTTCCCTCACCCTCAAATTCTGTTCTTGGCTGTATCTGCCTTGCTGTGTCCTGGGCAGAGCTGTGAGCTACTTCATGCTATAATTTGACAGGAAACCAAGAATGATGGTTATCTGCAAAAATTAGCCTCTGGGACTCAAAATCCCATATTCATTTATCAGCTCCACCCTTCATTGGTACTGTATATTGACTGGTAAAATACACTGTTCTTTTTTTCCTGTTGCCAGGGCAGCACCTTTCAGACCATGCCCCCCTCCCTATATATAAATATGTACATCGTTTATGATTAAACCTGTTTTATTTATTAGCTGTGTCCTGGTCCTTTTTTACTTGTCCAAGAATAATGAGGAAGGTCCTATTTTTTTGTTGTACAGGTGCAGCTAGGCAACTGAGTTGTGGGTTGAGACCCCTTACAGCCCTCCAGTAAATTCTGGAAGTGCCTTTTATGTCCTTCAGACACCAGGGGCTACACATCTGTCTGTTTGGAACAAAACTGTGTCTCTACCTGCATATTTCTATCTATCTATCTGAACATTGACTTATATGTACAGATACCCTCACAAGCAGAAGCAGACACTTACCCTTCCCCATGCTGCCTCCAACATGAGAAGACAACAATTCTCCTCACGCAGAGCTGCTGTGCTCATCCCTAGTGCAATTTAATGTGGTCTCTGCACAGATATCACTGTTGCTCTCAGCAGTCTCTCCATCTCACCATGTGTACCTCTCAGCTGTATGAGTCTTGGTCCCCCTGAGCACATGCCTACCTCCCTACAGATTCTCCACCCAAGTGCCTGACTGCTGAATGTACCAGTGAACAAGCTCTGGGTATCATGTGCCACAGGGACATGGGGGAGTTGAAGACAGAGTGAAAAGGGCATGCGCACTGGTCATTGGTTAGATTAAGGGGCTCCAGGAAGCTAGAGGAGAACTCCTTGCACTATAGCCCACGTGCTGCACTACTGAGCCTGTGTCTGCTCTCCCTCACCTGCTGGACAAAGCTGAATTTTTAAAAAGCCTCCATAGTCATCAAGTCTCTGCCTTTCTTTGACAACACTGACCTTACAATTATTTTCCCCGACGTCCTTCCATCTCCACAAAAACACCAGCTTTCGTCATTCTTCCACGTCCTCGCATTCCTGCCTTTTCCACAAAGGATGTGAAGCCATGGGGCACTGAAAAACAACATTGCAGTGACAGCAAGGGTGCAAGAGTAGAGGAGGCTGACAACCAAGCAGCAGATGTTCCCAAAGATATGCTGGATTCCATGGGAAGGCCAGTGAGTCCCAGCTTCAGTGTCCAGTTTGGCCTGCCCATGCTCAGGGTGAGAAGCATCTGAGAAACTGGCTGAGAGTGAAGGTGAAGCAGCATTACAGTCACCCGCAGAAACAAATGGCAATAAGCAGGTAATCTTATTAAAGTAATCCTAGTCTTCTCTCTGCATTTTGTTACTGATGATAATTGCTTTTGAAGTTAGATTATCATGCTCCTGAGGACATTTATTTTTTTGGTTTTATTATATCGTTACAGCCATTCTATTAATATTCATATATTATTTGGGCTCTAGAAGTGCTTACAGCCCCTAAACCAGACAGTATGTGTATCAGTTGGTTATTCACAGTTAGCAGCCATTATGTTCTGTGAAAAGGGCTGGGACTGGAAAACAGAGAGCAAGGCTACCTGTCTGCACAGGGGGCATAAGTTAAGGCAGGAAGAAGAAAGGGGAATTGTTTCTATCCTGCTAACTATTGAACGTGTCTGGCTGTAAGACAAAGCAGGGAAGGGCTATTACACGTGTGCAGAAACTGTGAGACCATGAAAGAAGCAAAGAGCAGACCTATAGGCAGGCCTCAGAGGCAGTGGAAAGAGAAATGGCTTTGTTTCCTCCCCATTGGGATTCAAGGGACCTACACAGCACTTACTGTAACCCAAGAAGTTGCGAAAATGCACTGGACTAAGGGCAAGTCTGGAGGAAGGGATCCATCCGGCAAAGATGCTGCAAGCTGCTTTACCCTTATTTGGTCTTACCTGGCATAATTAAGTTGCTTTGTTCCAATAACTACCTTGTCCTATACTGCAGCATATAAAACCTAGCATTAGTGATCCAAAGCCTCACTGTGTACTTACTTTGTGTACTTACTTCCAGGACAACAAACGGGGACATATACCTGACTTTTAGGATCAGTCACAGCCCTGGAACAAGACAGGGCTGAGATTTATTTTGTACATTGCTCTACACGGCAAGGAAGTCCTTGTCCTGAAGAAATTACAAGTCAACACGCTATAGGGCCTACTATAAATAATGACAAAAATCTAATTAAGCCACAGGGTCAGTACAAATCAGGAAGGAAATAGTGGTCATGGTGAATTAAGTGAAAAATAAATTGAGGGTGGGAAGGGCAGAGCAAAAGCCTGTTTTGACATCCAGAGGACTAAATTAGGCTTCTGTTCTGAAGGATCCCCAGGAGGACTACTGCCACCAGGTCAGCCTAACACTAGAGACAGGCGTTCACGGTGCAACCTCACAAAGTGTATTGTCTCCTTGAGATCCCAGGGTGCTATAGGTCTGATTGTCTGGGAGGCTGAAGGGCTTGTTATTATCACAAAGGCAAGTAGGAAATGGTGGGATAATTTCTAAAAGGGCAGCAGAAGAGAAAAGAACTTCATAAGGGGGCTCACAAATGTAGGATGGCAATAGGAGGTTTGGTGGGTAAAGAAAAGATAGGCTACAATGTATGCTATAAAATGTACCTTTTACCCTTATTTCATCCTTCTCTACACACAACTAAAATCCGAACAAATTTTATTTAGCCTTTTTGTCCTTCCTCAAATGTTAACCGCTACTTACTGCTGTGTAGGACCCACCCTCCATTTCTCATCACACCTTTTGCTGCCTTAGATTTACCCTCCTGTCATTGTGGGCTGCCTTGCTAGCCCTGTCCTAATGTCTTGGCTCGGGTGCAAGGTTACAGGCAGAGGTGTTTTTGAAGTAAGTGATGATTATTTGATTTGAAATTACTATTATGCTTAAGGGGTTTATTAGCATTATTGTTTCTGTAAAAATACATGGTGGCAAGCTCAGATTAAAGAGTCTCCTTGGAAAAATATATAAAACGTGATAGAATGTACATTTTCCCCACTGGTTTCTATAGCAACAGCCTTTTCTCCGCACTCAGAAAGAGCAGAGAATTTGCAGGGGGGAGATGAGTAGCAGTGGCTCTGCCCTAGATCTTTCACTCTGAGTCCTTATGGGAGGTTCACCTCTCTTCATGCTGTTACATGGAGAAACAAAGACCACCAGCCAGACCCACCTCATAGATCACTCAATATGTTGGGTAAAGCTGTGGGATGGATATCCTACCACAGATAAGGAAGTAATTTCCATGATGTGATTGTAGGCTGGGGCATTGCTCCTGGCACAGTACCTGACATGGGAAATATACATTGCAAACTGCTATAAACCCAATTTCTGTACTCGGGTTTGGTTAGAGCTACGAGCCTTGCCCAGCTTCTCTCGCCCCTGTGTCTTTACAGACCACCGTCTGGTATGGTCAGAGCCTGAGACTTCCCAGAGAAACATTTCCTTTTGCTCTCATGACAACATCAGCCAAAGACCTTTCCTTGCCCCCACCATCATTGGCCATCCATAGCATGCGGAACTGCCCTGAGTCCCAGGCATCGTGTTCCTAGAAAGTTATTGACAGTTTGGAAGGAGGCCAAGGACTAGCAAGAAAAAACATTTTATGAGCCTAGAGGGATATGAGCCTAGACTTGAGTAAGCCTTAGGAAAAGTCTGAAAGGAATAACTTTGTGCCATGTAGGTAAACAAAGTCTGAGAGAGGCTGGCTGAAAACCCCTAGATGCATTTGAAAGGTGGAGATGACAGCTGAGATAGCACTTTATTTAGAGTTGGACAGTGGGATATCTCAGTGGGAACTAGAGTATTAAGCAGGAAAACATAGGCAAAAGATCAGGTCACACTTTAGGCAGTGGAATTGATTGGCAAATTTTCTAAGAAAGAGATGTCATGAAAGTCCCATTTGCAAAACACTGGGAAAAACACTGAAATCTACATAGCCAACGGGGGTAACTTGGTGTTGGCAGTGGGATAGAGTGGCTGAGCCAGTAGGTTATTTTGATCCCCCACACTTGTTTCTGTGGTGGAGCCTGATCCCAAGACTGCTTCAAAGAAATTTCCTCAGACTGCCTGTCCTCGCTGCATGCTCCCGACCCCCCAAGTGGAGGGTTGGTAGTTCACTGGTCCCCTCCAGCCAGACCACTAACAGTAGAGACAGGACATCTTACGTCAGGCCCTGCTTTTTAGATCATTTCCACAAAGA